CCTCTTTCTGTGTGGAAACGGTTATTTTCATTATTACGATTATCATTTCACCAAACAAGACACCAATATTGGTGAACACGTTCACATTCTTCGATTGACAGTTCCATAAAGAGAAGAAGATTTGTTTATTCCAACGACTGTTTGAAGAATATCCTGTAATTTCGAATATCTCAACTTTTCAATCGTATGTCTAATGCAGGGTGTCTTTGATCCACAGTAAAGTCCAGGTATCCTTCTCTATGACTTCTGGCTTTTGCCAAAAGCTAAAATATCCGAAGAAAGAAATGAAAGCACGACCATGCAGCTGATACCAATTCCTCAAACAGTTTCTAAAAAGTCTAAAAGGCACTGGCATAATTATGAGACCAAAGAAGAAGAATTTGAAGAGTCAGAATATTTTGTTCGCGATAAGACTAAAATGTCGTAAATATAAAATTGTCTGTTAGTTCCGCATAGGCTTTCTATACTAAACATGAAATCTATCAATAAGAAACTGATTTCAGGGAAATTATCATAAGGTCCTCGATTTTCTTTAGAATATTCTTAGATTCTAATTTAGAAGATCGAAATGTTCTCTAACGTTTCTAACGGTCTATTATGTTTTACAATGCAACAGTTCCACTCAGCTTCTTCCTGAGAATTGTTGCATAGTGGAACAAACTCCCGAGACAGTGCTTTCCAAATCACTGACAGTTCCTACCCTACATATCCTCATAACATTCACATTCTGCTCACTCTTTGTAAACCCTTAAAACAACACAATTTAGTAACACTCTACATTGATTGGCGCTTGCGCCATGTACTGAGTGAAAAATAGTAAAATATTAAAGTCGAATGTATGCAATTAGAAGCAATTAATTACAGACCTGGCGACATTAAGTAAGGATTTAGATTAAAACTATTGACAGATTTATTTTAGTTAGGATTGGCATTTGCTGCTAATTGTGACGTCCCCCGCTGGTGTCACCGCTCCAAACGTGACGTCCGCCTGTCTGCGTCAGTCGTGCTATCCCGTCCTGTGATGACCAACTGGCTTGGTATTGGTCGCGGCACCCAAATGTGACGTTCTAACCTTTTGGTGATTCGGATGGGAATCTGGTTAGATTCGATATCAGCCTCGTCGTTCCCAACTCGCCTCCAACGTCTGGTTACCAAAGTAACTACCTTGATTTCCAGTCTGCCTACCCACGTTGTGAATTGATCTTAGGCAGACGAAATCAATCAGTCGCCGGGCCGTACTGCAAGTCGAGTTCGAATAAGGGTGAAATCGCACAAATAGATGTAAAAGAAAATAAAATAACAACTCGAAAAGTTCAAATGTGTTAAAAAAGGATAAGAATATTTTATATCTGGTTGCTGGATACAGGATTGCATCTATCTCCCAACCCGCTATATGGATACGTGACACGTTGTTTTTGTTAGGCGAGTCTTAACATCTTAAGTTGTCTGTTCTTTAAGAAACTGGTTCTTGGTGTGTCTTCAGGCGATATTCGTAAAACTTGTTTTGGTGGTATGAGTCTAAGTCGTTCTTCAAAAATAAATTGTTCTTGGATTGAAGATGAGTTCGGAATTATGGGAATCTTAGTCAGCTGATGCGTGGTGGGTTTTCAGAGCTCTCAACTTAAACTCGAACTCACTGGAACTGGAAACTCTGGAAAAATGGAAACTGATTTTCGCTCGCTGCGACTTTGCTTATATGGACGCCGACCCAAACCGGGGGGGCTCGTCGGGGTTTGAGGTTCCTTGATAATTCTAAATCTACAGTCCACTTCTTTTGTTTTCGGTCAGGAATTTTCCACTCCTTTCCATTTTTGGAAGTCTTCTCCTACTCCCACTTTCTTCGGTTTTCATATGGGTATCTCACCATACCCTCAGAGGGCGTCAACTGTTTTCCATCTCTATCGCAGTGACATCTCATATCCATTTAATGGGTGGTCGCAGGCCTCCCCCCCTGCATCACATGATCACCTCCGCCTGGCTCTTGTTAACATTCATCCAATGGGCGGCCAGCAGTGTGGGTGTGACCAGACTAGCCTTGTTTAAAAAAAAATCTTGCTCGAAGAAAAAAAAAAAAATTTTCTTGTCCTTTTCCTTTTTCCTTCTTTCTTTCTCTTTTCTTTCGTAGTGTGGTCCCTTAATCGCAGCTCTTATCCTCAATGTCACCTGGTACCTATCAATTAACAAGTGGGTGGTCAACTAGACACACTCACTCTCCGGCGCCAACCACTGATACGATAAAACAATTTCGCCAATTCACAGCCGAATTCATATGGAAGTCGTCAATGAAATTTTTGCCAATTTCTGATAAAATAGTTTCGCTGTCATAGTCAAATTCCAACACAACCCAGATGCCTTGTCCAAACGATATCTTCCCATCGACAAAGACTTAAACTCTGGTTTGGTTTTTCTTTGTTTTCGCAACTCGTGTGTGGTCAACGGGCATTCTTATTTCTCGGTCAATGGATGACCTATTAAATGTTTATCTCTTTAGAACTCTGTGGAGGCCCCAATTGGCATTCCCGTGACACAGTTAAATTTTTATCTATTTAAAATTCTGGACAATGGCAATAAAAATTTTCACTATTTTTCCTTGTCAAAATAACACCGCTTAATGTCCCTTTCGTGATGGCTTTCCTTTATCATCTAAATTTAACACTCGCCTTTCTTCTTTTTTTTTTCTTTCTTTTCTTTTTCTTTTCTCCTTCTAGCGACCCTAAATGGTGTCACAAATTATACGGCTGGTAGACAACAATATATAGCGTATATACTCGCGTATCATGTGACTTTTGAAGACCTAATTTTGAAGCTAATTTTAAGAGGGTCGCATAATACACGAGATATAAAATTAACGTATGTATCGCTGGTCCTGGCTTCGCCGTTATCCAAACTATAAATCCATTTACTGTAGTCAAAAAGTACAGCTGTATTTAAAATAAACATGATTTTGATAAAACTGATGTTTTACTTAACTGTATCCAATAATAATGCATGTAATATTCATATATTTGTATCGTATTATAAAATACAAACATGGCGAATATGCATCTCTTCCATTGTTTACGTTTATAAGATGTTTAGCTGTTTCTCGTTCGGTTGTTTATGGCTGGAGGCGTTTACGCAACGAGTATAGCGTTACTAATGATACTTTTATCATTCTCTTTTAGTTTTTTTTAACTTATTTAACTAGAAGATGGGATAAAAAGATACAGGAAAAGAGTTTAGTCTATTATAATTTGGTCTTTCAGAAAAGTAACTCACATGATGCAAGAGATACATAAAAAAGTAATTTTTTGTAAGTGAAAATTTGGGGGTCGCATGATACACGAGATCGCACATTACACGAGTATATATGGTTAATATATGACCTTATGTGGCCGAGTGGTTAGCAAGTTCGCTTTCTAACCATAAGACATGGGTTCGAGTATTATGATCGATTTATTATTATATGTAATACTTTTTTTATAATAATAAGTACCGTATATACTCGCGTATCATGCGACTTTTGAAGTTAATTTTAAGTGGGTAGCATCATACATTTAGCATATGTACTCCTGGTCCTGGCTACACCGTTGACCAAGCATATATATCCATTTACTGTAGCCAAAGGTACAGCAGCATTTAAAATAAACCTGATTGTGATAAAACTGATGTTTTACTTAATGGTGTCTAATAATAATGCCTGTAATATTTCTATATTAGTATCGTATATATAATAAAATCATTTTTATTATTTAATTTTAAAATCTATTTTATTCTATACCGTATATACTCGCATACCATGGGATTTTTGAAGACCTAATTTTGAAGCTAATTTTAAGGAAGAAGTATCATAGACGAGATATAAAATTAGCGTATCTACTAGTGGTCCTGACTACGCCGTTATCCAAACAAGAGATCCATTTACTGTAGTCAAATTAGCTTCAAAATTAGGTCTTCAAAATTCGCATGATACGTGTGTATTTACGGTATATGTAAGACTAAATAAAAATTATTTCACAAAAATGCAACTTATCATCTAAACTATAGAGTTGTCTTTAGACCACAAATTAGTGTCATACAAATTGAATGTAGACGAAACCTCGAGTAGACAGATATTAATAGACTGAGATAGATAGATAGATAGATAGATAGATAGATAGATAGATATGAATAGACTGAGATATGTAGATAATGAACAGACTGTAATAGATAGATAAAGATAGATAGATAGATAGATAGATAGATAGATAGATACGATACATACATACATACATATGCCGTATATACTCGCGTATCCTTCGACTTTTGAAGACCTCATTTTGAAGCTAATTTTAAGGGGGAAGCATCATAGACGAGATATAAAATTAGCGTATCTACTAGTGGTCCTGACTACGCCGTTATCCAAACAAGAGATCCATTTACTATGGTCAAATTAGCTTCAAAATTAGGTCTTCAAAGGTCGCATGATACCCGAGTATAAACGGTACATCATAAATTATTCAAGATTCGTAATTATTTCTATACGAATGTATTTTTCCAAATTCTAAGTTTTACCAGCTTTTAATATCAGTTCAGAAATATAAGTCCGGTTAATCAATGTCTAATCACGATGGCACCGATACTAAAAAGGGTTTTGCATTTTCTGGCTCTTTTCTTTGAAATGGTGATATTCCTTCATTTCTATTCCACTTGCAGAATATTTCATATTATTTAGGGCGACGAAAAAGTGGACAAATATGAAATGCTGAGAAAGTAAAATCTAGTTTGCCGTAGCCGGACTCCCGTAATGCGCCTTAAGAGGCATGTGCGTAAGTCCCGTAGAAGGCCTTCGTTTGCCGTAGCCGGACTCCCGTAATGCGCATTACGAGGCATGTGCGTAAGTCCCGAAGAATCGTTAAATGCCTAAGTTCGTCGAAATATTTACCGCTTGACATAACATCACCGGCACACAGGGAGATACACATGATAACACATATGTGTGTGTGTGTGTTGGATGGTTCATATCCGTACATTATACTGGG